AAAGATCTTTACCAATGTCACATCTGACAGAGGACTGATCTCCAAAATATATAGAGAACTCAAGAAACTAGACATCGAAAAATAATCCAATTAAAAAATAAGGTACAGATCTAAATAGAAAATTCTCAACAGAAAACTCTCAAATAGTTGAGAGACACTTAAAGAATTGTTCAACATCCTTGGCCATCAGGGAAATGCAAATCAAAATGACTATGAGATTCCATCTTACACCAGTCAGAACGGCTAAGATCAAAAACACTTATGACAGCCTATGCTGGAGAGGATGTGGAACACAGCGAATACTCTTCCAGTGCTGGTGAGAGTGCATACTTGCAAAGCCACTTTGGAAATCAATATGGAGGTTAATCAGAAAATTGGGAATCAATCTACCTCAAGATCCAGCTATACTACTCCTGGGCATATACCCAAAGGACACTCAGTCATTGCACAAGGACACTTGCTCAACTATGTTCATAGCAGCATTATTCACAAAAGTATAACTTAGAAACAACCTAGATGCCCCCAAATCAAAGAGTAGATAAACAAAATGTCATATTTTTACACAATGGAGTATAAAAAGTTGTTAAAAATAATGACATTAGGAAATTTGAAGTCAATGGATGGAAGTAGAAAAATTATCCTGAGTGGTGTAACCCAGATCAAGAAAGACAAACCTGGTTTGTGCTCACTTATAAGTAGATATTGACTGGAAAGTAAAGAATAATCATGCTACAATCCATAGCCCCAGAAAGTCTAGGTAACAAGGAGGGCCCAAAGCAGGAGGGATGCATGAATTTCCCAAGGAAGAGAAAATAGAAGAGGTCTCCTGGGTAGACTGGAAGGCGATGGGGATGAGAACATAAGGGATTTGATTGAAGGGTGGATGGAAAGGGAGAGTATGGAAAGAGACATCTAGGGGGTCATTTGTAGAAACCTGGTACAAGGGAAACTCCCACTAATCTACAGGGATGACCCCAGCTAAGACTTCTAGCAATCGTGGATAGGTAGCCTGAACTGCCCATCTCCTGTAATCAGGCTTGATCTACTTGTGGGACTCCTAGTGGTGGAAGCAAGGGCTGTTTCTAACACTTTGGCTGGCTTCCAGAAACCTATTCCTCATACTGGGTTGCCTTGACCAGGTTTAATACATGAGGAAGAGCTTAGTTCTATCTCAATTTCATATGCCATGCTTTGCTGACACTCATGGCAGGACTGCCCCCTTCTGAAAGGAAACAGAGGAGGAGGAGTGAATTGGGGAAGTGGGGGAGTAGGGGGAAGGAAAGCGGGGAGAAGAGGGAAGGAAAGAGGGGAGAAGAGGGAAGGAAAACTGTAATCAGGATATAAAATAAATGAATAAATTTAATTAATAAAGAATTCCAATATAGATGAAAGGAAAAAATCAACTAATAAATTATTTCAGCACAATTTTTATCTAAAAATTAAACTTAATCATGATTCTCTTCAACAGAAATTACTGACCTGAGATGAAATCAAAGAAATAATTGTATTTATAATAGTGTCAACAGGGTAAGATTTAGATTACATAATTAAAGATTTGGAATTAAAACAATTTTGGGTTCTGAGAAACAAATATTAACGAATGAGAAATCACCTCATGTACAAACACTGGAAGATGCAATAGTGGTATGATATTGGTAATACTACACAAAGTAATCTAATAAATCTCTTCCATTGGTACTAAGTTCAAATGGGAAAGAAAATCTCCAGACTCAAATGGAACTGTGGGGAAGATCTGAATCCCACACTTGAAAACCTAATGCAGACTAGAACAATGCAAGCAACATGGTGTTGACACAGAGATCAAGTCCCAGCAGTGCGGAGGTGACGTACGCCTTTAATCCCAGCACTTGGGAGGCAGAGCCAGGAGGATCTCTGTGAGTTCAAGGCCAGCCTGGTCTACAGAGCAAGATCCAGGACAGGCACCAAAACTACACAGACAAACCCTGTCTCAAAAAACCAAAAGAAAAAAAAGAAAAAAAAAGATTAAGTTCCAGATGCACATAGACTCATATGCAGGCAAAACTCTCCTATACAAAACATTAAAATTTAAACATGATCACAGTCTTGTAGCTATGAAGTTGTATAATGTCTATAGAAAATTATAGCTATTTTTACAGAGGTAAATGTGAAATTACCATTTGAATCAGTAAACATAGTACTGGGACTATGCACATAGAAAATAGAAATGACACAAAGAAACATGCGCCCCGTTGTTCATGGATAAATAGCTCAGAACAGTCAGAGGTATAAATAACACAGATACATGGATGATTAATGAAAACATTGTCGTTCTCAAACTTGTACAAAGTTTTGTTTGCTATAACAGGAGACTGAACAGAAAGAAGCTGAACTTAGAGGAACATCAAAGATTTTATGCAAGTGGAAGAAGACAGAAAGTAAAGTCACACATAGTATGACCTGGTTTAGATGTTAGTATACTCTGTCAGAGAGACATGGGAAAATTTATAGAGACAGAAATCACACTAACAGTTACTAGTAAGACCACGGACTAAGGGGAATGATGGTTTAGTGACTAGTTTGTTTTTTTGTAAGAGTGATGGAATATTTTTAAACTGTTGAGCTGGTAGTTGCAGTATTTGTGGATACACTCAGTACCACCACAGTGTACATAAAGTATGGTTACTGATATCACATGTGAAATTTTCCTCTGTTTTAGCAATTGGCATGTCTACCAATAATGATTGATGGATTAAGTACAATCTTTGTATGAATTAAGCATATCCTAAAATTCATATAGGAATTTAAAGAATCTAGAATGGTCAAGCATCCTGGAAAAACAAAGCTGCAGTGTAGACTCACAATCTTTTTTCAAAAAAGTATTACTAAAATGTTTTATTAATGAATAACTTGTGACACTAGACCACTAGCAAAAGACCAAAAAAAGATATGAGAAATGGAACAAAACTCATGTCCATCATCAAATCTGCATGTTTTTCATCAATTTTTTAATGTGCTATGTAAATTGCATAGCAAAATATCTTTTTTGTAAATTACACAGTCAAAACAGTTAAACCTCACAGCATACCTAATGAATCCCAATGTGCAACCACACTGAGGCAAATTTATCTAAAATTATACTCTATGGAAATTTATTCTCTTATCTGCCATATTCTTTCCAATTGTACTTCCCTCCCAACTTCACTTTCCTGCCCAAATAATATCTGTCAATTCAAATGTGTCCAGATCAATTGTAATCTATAGGACATGCAAGTGATCCACACACTGGACAAGGATGCCAATTTTCATGTTAAGACAGAACAGTTTTGATTTATGACTCAATTGGAAGTAGTTTTATGTTATCTGCCTTTTCTGTTGTCTTTCTCCTCTGTTAGATTATCTTTTCTGTTTTGTTTTTAATTTAATGAACAGGGCCAATGTGCTCTAATTGACAAATTCATGATATTGCTTCCAGGCAACTAGCATAAATAATAAATATTAAATTATTTTTCACATGATGCTGGTAAACAATGAAGTATTCAATGAACTATAAAATACTTGTCCAACCCAGTAAGTGTATACATATATATTAACATGTAATTGTTATACATGTACATATATGCATATACAACTGTATACATATATATATATATATATATATATATATATATATACATGTAAGTGAGTAAATATATATTAACACTTTACCAGCCTTCTTTTAATTAGGTAGTAATCAATGAAGTCCCGAGGATTTGTAACATCCAGTGATTCTTCATGTTCTTTTATTTTCTCCACAAGGTAACTTTTAATACATGTATAATTTCTAAAAATTGTTCTATGACTTCCTGGACAATAATCAAGCAGAGCAGGGAATGCATTGTAAACCTAAAGAAAATGCAACTAATTTACTAAATGAGAAAAATAAATATACAGTAATGAGGAAAATAAGAAATATTTATAACATATAGTGAGTCTGATTTTCATTTATAGCTTGGCATATAAATGTTGTCTATCCTGAGGTGGTTGATTTTACATATATAGAAATTTTATGCTAATAGGGAGATTTGAAGGAGAAATTTCTGCCTAAATAATCAAAGATCATAGAAAAATTTCCAAATTTATGAATCTTTTAGTATAAATGACATTCATCTTAGTTCATTGATGTCTCAAACACTGTTCTACAAGTTTAAAATACCATGTGATGCAAATTACTCACACTCACATTTTCAAAGTGACAGTTGAAGTTAAGATGGTTGTTTGACCTGATTTACAAAAGAGATCTAGTACCTGAAGATTTTATTTCCATAAAGCAGTTTTTTTTTTACACAGAAACAGCATGTAGAAATGAGTGGGGCTCAAAAATGCCTTGAAATTTATTGCACAGCCCTTAAGAATCCTCTATGATCACACAATAATTCTTTCTGCAGCATGAAGGAGATGCCACTTCATCACTGGAAAACTTTGTGAGTGTCTTTAAGGTCCAAGCACCATTAAACCATTCATCTTGTCATTTCTTCATGCTACACTGTTAACCAAGATCCCAGCAAATGCATCAAACCACTAACTACTCAGTGTTTCCTGGTAGCTTTCATTCCCCAAAATATTCTTTCTCATTTTAGAGAATATTCTTTCTTAACTAAAAGATTCCTGCCCAATAATATGATGAGGGTCAGTGGAATTGCTGAAAAGAGGCCAATAAAACTGCAGAGTAGAAGAATGTCTTATAAGTGACTGACCACCCTTGTAGAAATGAATACAGTACTTTATAAAAAGAGTTCTGTAGAAGTCAATGGTGAAATCACTGAATAGGGAGGTATCAAGGTTGTGCCTTCATGACATTTTCCCTTCTGTCTTGCTGTTTATACAGCAAAGGGGATAGATGTTCCGTTCTCATGTTTTCTCCGTAGTACATTAGTCAGAACTGTGGTATTGGTCACCTCACTACTTGATCCACATTGAATTTGACCTGTGAGAAAGAACATCATACATGTGTTTTCTGGAGGAAAGGCTCTTGGCTTCACCTGTATCCAGGGGGAGCTCAAAATCTTGTTGTTTTCTTGTAATTTTTCCATCAAGTTAAGAAAATCCTGGTCTTTATAATCAAAACGACTCTGGAAAATAATTGAGCTGATCACATTGCAGGGAGCACAGGCCAAGATGAAGGTGGGATCACAGGGTGAGCCTGGAGAATTGAAAACAACTGTAAAACGTCATTGAGACATACCAAGAAGACACTTTGTTTCACTAATAGACAAGTTACTTTATATGTTTTAAGAATTTATTAGGCATGAACATTCTTAACAGGCAATATTCCCCTGGTGAAGGATCAGCAATCACCTTGACCTTAATTCCAACTTGGCCTTCATTCTCACTGGTTAAGTAATGGCACATCACATCTATTTTATTGAATTGTATGCACTAACCTCAGCTGCATGTTATTTTCATGGGAAGACTTGTATATACCTAACATTCTAGTGGTCAGCGCTGAATCACTTTTGTCTGCCAAGTCTATAGACCATATCGAACTGAAAAGAAAACAGAAGAGTTGCAACTTGGAATTTAGGTCAGGTATGAATGTTGTAAGCATTATGTATTGTACCAGTAAAGTGTAAATAAAGGGCAATATTTTTATTAGGTTCAATAATTATAATGAACAAATTTTAATCACAGGATAAATCAGTCTTATATGGGAAGAAAAACTATATCAACAACTGTAACTGTGACAAGATCTACAGACATAACTAAATAATATGAGAGCCTTTACTTTTTTTATTGTCAATCCAAGGTGAGGCAAACAGCATGAGGAAACAAATGGAGACTTTTTTCCATGATCATATTTAAAACAATGGATTTTGCTCCTTAAGAAATAAATTTTTCCTGCTGATCATAGTGCTGCACAACTTTAACCCCAGGACTCCAGAGAGAGTTGCTGAGTCTGATGTCAACTTGGTCTACAGAGTGAGCTCCATAAAAGACAGAGCTACATAATAAAGAGACTCTGCATCAAAACCAAAAGTTTTTTAAAAATTAAAAAAAATATTTCCTGTGAAAGTATAATAAAAGCATTTCTGGTTAGTAATTTTGGAACACTGGGTGGTTAATGGGCAAGAAAGAGCATGATGGTGAGCACTACAAAAAGCATAACAAACTGTTACCAAATTGTCTTTATGAACTCATGGAAGAATCCAATGATTATATAACAATGACATTTACTTTAAAATAAACTAATATTCATTGTAGCTAATTTTACATTAAATATATTTGAATAAAACTGACATTTGTGGATATTTTAATATAGACATTTTTAAGACTTTTTTTATAATTTAATTTAATTTTACATATCAGCCACAGATTCCCCTGTCCTCACTCCTCCCGCCCCCCCCCCAGCCCACCCCTCAGTCCCATCTCCTCCAGGGCAAGGACTTCCCTGGGGATTCAGCTCAGCCTGGTAGATTCAGTAGAGGCAGGTCCAGTCCCCTCCTCCCCTTACCCAGTCTGAGCAAAGTGTCCCTGCATAGGCCCTAGGCTCCAAACAGCCAGGTCATGCACTAAGGACAGGTCCCAGTCCCACTGCCTGGGGGCCTCCCAAACAGTTCAAGCTAGTCAACTGTCTCATTTATCCAGAGGGCCTGATCTAGTTTGGGGCTCCTCAGCTCTTGGTTCATAGTTCATGTGTTTCATATTCCAAACTCTTTAAATATTTTGTAAAATGTTGATTATGTGATTGATTTCACAAGTAAGGAAAATGAGTAATCAGCTTCTGTGCTGGTTACTTGTGGTCAAGTTGACATAACCTAGAATTTGTTCAAGAGAGAGAGACACAGGAGAGTAATTTCCTACTTCAAAATAATCTCTGGCATGTCTCTACATGCTTTCTTCATTATCTATCATGTGTGAGGGCTCAGCCCACTGTGAGCAATGATGCCTCTGGCCTAGTGGTCCTGCACTTCAGAGGTACACTAAAGAAGCTAAGAAAAGCAGGTGGAGCAGTCACTGAGCAGCACTCCTTCATGATTTCTGCTTCATTTCCTGCCTTCAAGTTCCTGCCTTGAGTTGCTGCCCTGGCTTTTCTCAGTGATGAGGTGGAACCTGTGTGTTAGATGAACCCTGGCCCTGCTCCATGATGCACGCTTGTGCATGTGCACACACGAGCATGCGCGCGCACACACACACACACACACACACACACACACACACAAACCTAGGATAAAATACTTCTTTCTTTCTTTTCATTCCTGTAGTGAAATTGCTGTGATGAGGAAATCAATAATCTTTATGTACAAGGTGATACCAAATTTATGGCTTTAGATTAAAATAAATGCCCCATTAATTAACAATGTTGGGCATGTGAACAAAACATAATTTAGTAAAATATATGAATCAAAACACTAAGTGATGTGTAAAAAGAAATAATGATAAAATTGTGAAATCATATTATATACAGAGATTCAACAATTGATGAAAATTTTATTATACTCAGGTAAAAAATGAAATCCATACCTCAAATCACTGTTATGAAGGAATTTGAACATGATCCTTGAAGGCCCCTTGGACACATGAGTGAAGCAATGGAGAGCAATGTCATTGAATAAAATGAACATCAATATTATATAGTTTAGGCTCCTTAGGTGTACACGATGGCATTGCCACCATTATCAGTGACAATTATTGTTGGATTAGATGATATGCAATAGAGAAACTATACTTGTGCTGAGGGAAATGCATGATACCATAATGCAACATAAAGTTAACGTGAGACATATGTTCCTGACTTCTGTTGCAAATAAAGGAAAGCCTTGAATATAATAGGAACCATGTGACTTACTCAGTCATACTCTACCAAGATGTAAAAGCCAGATTATAAACCTGCACTTACCATTGGTTTTCCTAAGTTCCCCCACAAGGTACTGTGCTTCCTCTTGAACAAGGCCCTCCATGCTCCTTTTTCCCATGCCCAAATTCCGCAGGGTCATGAGGGAAAAACGTCGCATGTCTTTCCATATATTCCCATTGCTAAAAGTGATTCCTGAACAAATGGGAAAAGAAACTAGAGAGTAGGTCCCAGAGACAGAAGAGGAAGCTGAATGGTGGCGTGTAGTTGAAGTTTTTCTGTGTCCACCTGGCTCCTGTGTCCTTGCATTTCTGTAGCCGCTCAGACCCAAATAAACACACACAAGCTAATATTATTTAAAACTGCTTGGCCATTACCTTTGGCCTGCCACTAACTAGCTCTTACACTTAAACTCAGCCCGTTTCTGTTAATCTAGATGTTGCCACGTATTCTGTGGCTTTACCTGTGTGCCTGTATCATGCTGCTCCCTGGATGGCGGATTGATGTCTACTGACTCAGCCTTCCTCTTCCCACAATTCTCTTCTCTGTTTGTCCTGCCTATACTTCCTGCTTGGCTACTGGCCAATCAGCATTTTATTTATACAGAGCGATACCCACAGCAGTGGCAGCCATAGTCCCGCCCTGTGCCTGAGGAACAAGCTTGTCCTCTTCTTTCCATTCTCTGGCTCACCATGGATACTGCCCAGAATGCACATAAGCACATGCACACTTACCTAGGCCATTAACAACTTTATCCACAGCTGGGAGCCTTCCTCTTCCAGAAAACTCCTCCCCATGATCAATTAGTGCTTCTTTCACTGCCTCATAGCCATGCAATACCACAGTGGGCTGTGTGCCAAAATACAGAGTAAAGACAGGGCCGTAGGCTTTTGAGAACTGGAAACAGGAAAAAAATGTAAATACTAATAAAAAATGTTGCCTCATTCTCCATATAATCAATCTCATTGAGGCTGATTTATTACTGTATTTTAACATTTTTATTCAGGCAAACTCAGGTTCAAATGGTTCTAATATATATCATGATGGTGATTATCGCTTATGAATATTCAACAATGTCCCAGGCAAATACCCAGACAGTTGACCCATAGATGACAATGAATAATCATATCAAGATATTTGCCAGGTCTCTTGTCCTTATTTCATAAAGAAACTAAAATTAAAGAATTCCACATTCTTTTTCTGGACCCTATTGTATTGCGGCTGTAGACCAACCAGCCTTCAGCCACTCGGGAATTGAGGGGGATCCATGGAGTTTGAACTAAATACTCAACTGACTTATTTATCTGAAGGAGTAAAACTTAATTCTATGGGGTCAATGAGGATGGCAAAACTTAATTCTATGGGGCAGGGGAAAATATGCACATGCTCTTACTCACACACATACACACACACATATCCAACATGTCAGGATATCATCTAGGGTACTGAAGAATGCCCAGCCTTCAGCAGGTCAGAGAAACTGAAAAGGAGATGCAGAGTAAGCAAACTACTGGACAGACAAATGATACACAAGGACTTTTATGAGAGCCAAAGCTTAGTTCTTCATTTTATTATTCTTTCTATTGCTTGTTCTATTCTATTCTTTTCCTGTTCTTTTCTTCCACCCCATTGTTTCCCTTCTACATCTCTTTATTTTTTTTCCCTTACAGCTTACATCCCAACAACTAAATCTTTCCAGGAGTATAAAACTTACAATGTGGTTACATTCCATTTTTAGATGAATAATTACAATGAATACAGGTGGAAAAATGGCATGTTTTCCATATCCCTTACATGATTAAACATTTTATGTATTACAGGTATTCAAGTTGTTCCATAAACCCACATAAACTCATACCCAAGCAACTTGTTATATATAAACACAGTGTAAGCAGCCAAGGTATTTTTCTCAGCCAGTTCTTTTGCTGGCAGGCTGCATTTTGCCGTCACAAAGAAAGGATCAATCACTTTATTCTTTATCTCAAAAGGTAATCTAATAAGAAATCTTAAAGAATCACAAGTCTAAACTTTTATATATGGAAAACAGTTAGCTTTGCTTTAATCTTCAGGGTGCATATGCACTCATCAAGTTTTTTATAATGCAAAGCTGAGGACAGAAATGGGTACAAGAAATTAATCATCATCCTTGATCACCAACCTATCCTAGCAAGAAATGAATCTCAGCCAGCAATAGCCAGGCTACCATTGTCTCTGTTCCCTGACCTCAACAAATCCCTTGTTTAACTATTAAAAATGTGTCTTTATGAACTTTAAATTGTCCCTCAAATTTTTCTACCTCAGAGTCATTGACAAAAACATCTCAACCTAACCTTAAGTCATTATTTAAACTTTGTTTTAGTTGTGATGCACACTAAAACCCATAAAAATATCTCCCAACATTCAGAACGTGAGCTGGCTTAGCTTCTTGGATTCAATTGTTTTTCTTTTTTTTTTTTTTTTTTTTTTTTGGTTTTTCGAGACAGGGTTTCTCTGTGTAGCTTTGCCCCTTTCCTGGAACTCACTTGGTAGTCCAGGCTGGCCTCGAACTCACAGAGATCCGCCTGGCTCTGCCTCCCAAGTGCTGGGATTAAAGGCGTGCGCCACCACCGCCCGGCCTCAATTGTTTTTCTTAATCACTAATCCAAACCACAGTCTATACAGCTCTTCAAGAGAAAAACATTAAATCCTAGCCATGTGACACTCCCTTGGTTCTATTTCCTATCCTCTGAAGCCCCTACTTTATTAGGGATGGTGGCAACACCATATCTAGCCTTTATTTATACTAATTTTTCCACTAAACTAACCTCTATCATAATTCCTTGTTATATTTGTAAAAAACCGTTAATTATAAAAATTCTATTTAAACTAACACTACTATTGTATAAAATCATTGCTTCAATTAAACAATATAGCATAAGAGGAAATCATCTTCATAACAATCCACAGGTAAAAATATCCAGTAAAATGGGATTTTTCCATGAGATAATTTTACTACATTAAAGGCAGTGGGGATCGACCATACACTCCCATTAACACCATGCCAGATACCAGAAAAAATGACAGCATCAAACACATAAAGATACAGGCACAGCAGGAAACATTCTGGAGCCTAAGCCCTTGGGGCCTTGCCTATTCAAGATTCACACATCAGTGCCTTGGGTTTTGGTGGGCCAATTTCCTGAAGTTAGCTGCCACCTGCTGCTATTTTGACATGCCACTGGCACTACTGCAAATGAGAAAGACTCAATGTAGCAGGAATCTTAGAAGGTCTTATTAATAAAATCAAACCTGAGCCAGGTATTGGAGTGAACACTGGAAGATCAGAGAGACAGAACAAGCCACAGCTAACCTCACCTGGCCAACTTCTCAGCTGATCTTGTTTCCTCAGACTGGAAGCCTCTGTGTCCTCATATCTGAATGCCTCTCAGCTGAACTGCGCTGCTCAAAACCTAAAAGCTTAACCAGCCAAATGCTTCCAGTTCCTGGTCCTCACGCCTTATATATCTTTCTGCCTTCTACCAACACTCCCTAGGATTAAAGGCTCGCTTTCTGGGATTAAAGGCGTGAGTCACCATGTTTGGCTGTATCCTTGAACACGTGGATTTCTGCCTCAGGAATGCTAGGATTAAAGGTGTGTGCTACCACTGCCTATCCTAAGTATCTAGTGGCTTTTCTGTTCTCTGACCCCAGATAAGTTTATTAGGGTACACAATATTTTTGGGAACATAATACCACCACAACTCAACATCAGCACTCTGCATATTCATCGTTGGATTCTTGAGCAACTGCTCAAGAATCACCACTACTCTCACGCTCACTCCACTATAAAGAGACATCCATAGTCAGACGACTGCTACAGCAGGCCTGGTTCTTTTGTCCCCCCCCCCCCCCCCCAAATAAAGCTCTGATACTGGGTTTTGTCGTGGCTCATGCCTCATGACATTTCCGAATGGTAACCAGTGCCGCTTATCATTTTTAAAACAACATTGGTGCTATGACGAGACAGGCTCTCCCAGGGCTCTGCCTCCAGGGCTCTGCATCTGGGACCCTGTTACTGAGGTTTATTGGACCTGCAACTGCCCGCTCTACTTTTCTTCTTTGCCCGGCTGCCAGACCACTCTGCACACCGGCTAACAAGATTGGTGAGTTTCCCCTTTCCAATCCCTCGCCATTTTCCTCGAATGTAGCCTGAGATATATTCCTCGCGCAGGACGCCTGGGGCATCCTCGGGCTGCATACTGCAACACATTCTCTCTTGATGAAGTATTGCACGCTGTCTGGACTCCCGGGGAGTCTTCCAGTATGTATGCCCCCAGCCCTTGCCCCTCTCCTGACGACAGTTGGGGTAACTTGTGCTGATAATTTATGCCGGTCCACAGATTACCTATCCTTGGGGACACTTAAGATGGGAGCCTGGGATCCCGTTTGTTATTTTAATTTTTTATTTTTTTCTCTCAGCTGTAGTCATGGGACATGGAGGCTTCCTCCTTGTGGTTCCACTCCTCCTTTGAGAAATGCCTTAAATATCCCCAGATACCAGTAAATTTAGTCATGTAATGGCTGCTTGAATCCCAATATTTCACAGGAATTATCTAACTTCTGCCAGTGAATGGACAAATGAAAAGAGTTACCTTATCCCCACACTTTTTACCTAAGCTCTGAACCCCCCTTTTCTGATTCTTTCTCTCCTGCCCACTTGCATTCCTGAACCTAAGGGTCTCTGAATCAAAAGAACCTTATCTTATCTGTTCTCCACTCTGTTCTCCGGTACCAGGCTGCTGGCTAAGCACAGACAGGTCTGGAAGCAGGCTAGGGCACATGCAAATAAGTTTACTATCAGGACCAAAATTGAGATCATAATAATCTGAATGGCTCTTTAGCCAGAGATCAGTTTACAGCCTGCCTCCTGGTAGGTCTTCCTAAAGCTGTCCTCAAGCTAGCAAACTATCAAAAAATATTCAAGACATGGAATAAATTCTGTCTCTTGTCTCCCAGAGCTCCCTGACATTAGGGCTAGAATGTAAGCATCTGGAGAGCAAGGCTCCTGACCCCACAGGAGGAAGAATTCAGCTGTGGCATTTAAGGTGTACCATGGGAGAGATGAGAAGGCCCATGAAAAGAATTGCCAAATGCTGTCACATGCTATCTGAGTGGCTGCATAATGGCTTCCAGGTCCCTGTTTTAGAAGGCCACATGGGCTAGTATGTGCCCTGCCAGGCTGTCAATTGAGCCTTGTTCAAAGTGCCACCTAGAGAGCTAACTGGTCAGCTGACAGCCCCTTTGCACCCAGTGGCTTGGGGACATCAAACCAAGACCTCCAGCAGACCTCCTTGGCTTGGTCACAGGCTGACAGGGAACCCAGGATGCAGCATGGGGCAGTCTGTTTCCTTCCTGTTGGACACCAAGCCACTTACTCAGTCCTGAGGGAGTTTTGAGGTCCCACCTCTCCTTCTCATTTCCCTATTGGCAGGGTGGAGGGACAGCCTTACCCACCTCACCAGACTTAATTGTACTTTCAGGGTTACTTAATGGGACAAGATTTTCCAGTTAAGGTAGGAGCTTTCATTTTATTTGCTCAATCAATACCAATTGGCAGCACTTCTTCTCACACACAGTGACACAGACAGGCCCTGCTTTCTCAAGTTCCAGAGGACATCAGGGTCCACTGCCTTGTCACCAATTCCAGAAAAATGAGGTCTCACCCCACAAGCTTTTCTCTTCCTGGTTTCCTCTTCTAATTAACTACTCAGTTAATTGTTACAGGATCACCATAGAGCTGGAGTCCAAGGACCATCAAATATATACCCAGGTGGTAAAGGAACAGCAACAATCAAAAGGTATTTACACCCCCAGACCTAAAAGTGTCTGGGCTCTGCAAAAACAGACTTTAATGTAACAATCCATTACTGTTAAACGCTCTCAACAATTGATCACCTGTTTCTCCTGGATGCTAAACTAATAAAGGAAACAGGTACCTTAAAATTATCTGTCTCTAATAAAGCTTATTTCAGGTTAAAATTAAAAACATGTTCCAATCTCTCTCTGTCTCTGTCTCTGTCTCTGTCTCTCTGTCTCTCTCTCTCATTAACACTAACCAATATAAACAGAATACTAAACACTACAATGGCCACCAGCCCAAGACTTTAATTTTCTCATGGTTGCTTCTTAATATGTTCAAAATTTTTCCAAGCTCCAGAAAATCCACCTGGACAGGTTAGCAAAGCTCTGGAACTGGCTTCAGTCCACCTGGACATCACCTTGTCAGATAATTTCCAAGGCAGCAGACAACCCCAGGACACCTGTCTACTTCAGAAGTTGCTTTCCCTCCCCCCACCCCAAGAGTCAACTGATGCCTATCAAGTCAGCTGGAAGCAGTTTTTCTGGGAGAAATGATACCCCTATTCCTGTTCACCCACTTTTTTATAATAATCAAAATGTTTGGAGTGTTAAGATTCTGCTGCCACTCCAGCTGCATGACGGCACATGTGCAGTTCAGTAGTTAAGCAAGGGGTCTGATGTCTTATGTCATTTGTGTGCTGCGTGGTTGCATAAATGCACACAGTGTGGTCACGCAATCAGTGCATGTGTGGCATAGTTCTGTAAGCCCACCTGTGCGTGTGCATGGGAATCCTTAAAAAGCAGGACACAGTGCCCTCTTCTCTGCTCTCTCTTACCCCACTATCTCTTTCTCTCTCTCTCTGCTCTTTGCACATGCTTCTTCACTAGGCCTGATTCTTTTGTCCCCTCCACCCCAATAAAGCTCTGATACTGGGTTTTGTCATGGCTTGTGCCTCATGACCATTATGCATGGTAACCAGTGCTGCCATTATATTTTTTTAAAACAACAACAGGATCAGCTGTGAAGCTCCTCCTGTAGAAAACTAGCAAGCTCTATGATAATGAGCATAAATTTCAGGTCACCACAAATAATGACAGTCTAGTTTGCATACACTGTTACCAAAAACCCAGAGAGTAGGTCTCGTAGAAGCTGCACTACAGTATCCAACATCTATGGGGGGAAAAGTTTCTTATCATGTAGTGTTCTTGGCCCCAGGCAGAGAGTTTATAAAAAGGAAAATAGATAAGGAAACTCTTAATTATATTTGGTCACACTGTAAATGTCTTTTATTTCCTGTGTGAATCCTTGCCCATAGAAATTTACTTCAAATCAGGCACCAGTCAGTTCTTCAGAGTCCAGCATGAATGGCTAATCCTAGTACCAGTGAGTACATAAATTCTGACTCATTGATGAACTATTCCAAACTCTTGACCTTCAGCCAAAAATAATGGAAAATAATTGCAAAGCAAAGATGTGAAGAAGCATATAGAACATTCAGAACATAATGATTTATGTTATAAAATGCAATGACCTCAATGTTCTTCTACCTGAAATACATTACTCAATACAAAACTCATGACCAGAACAAGAGGCAAAAAGCAGAGGAAACACAAAGTTTTACAAGATTTTGACGTTAATGATAATTTAAAATAAGATTGCATCCAGTATTTCATTAAAAACTACATGAGATCTCTCCCCCTTCTCAAAGTACTATAAGATCATAAAGCATACTTACATTGGTAAAGGATTGGCTGATGTTCTTCACATCTATCTGGAGGAAATTGCCAATAATTGGGAGAGGCCTGGGGCCAGGAGGGAGCTTCCCTCTCCCAGAGCTCTGTCTCCAGAGTGAGAGGAGAAGCAGACAGGAGACAGTGAGCACCAGGACCGTGACTGGCTCCATGGAGACCCTTCCTATTGACACAGCTGTGGTCAGGCAGCAGAGAGCTTATATAATGAAGCTGCAGAATCAATAATTTACTCTTTGGAACTTTGCTGACTACTTGACTAAACAATGTTTAATCTCTTGTCCAAATACACTTTGCCCTAATGATGAGACAAAACAAGTTCTTCCTCAAAATTATCCTTTATGAGGTTGCCCATTAGAGATTTTTGGCTTAATTTTATTGGATAGCAAACAAGTATTTCTGATAAAAAAACAAAAACAAAAACAAAAACAGATGTTTTACCTGGTCAGATACTCTTAAAATATTCTAATTAATATTTAAATAGTAGTTTTGCTTCTGAAGTTATATTATAATTACAAAATTTCTCCTTTCTTTTCTTTGTCCAAACCCTCCTATACTTATGTGTGTGTGTATGTGTGTGTGTGTGTGTGTGTGTGTGTGTGTGCGTGTGCATGTGTGTGTGTATGTGTGTGTGTATTCAATGATTTCTCAAATTCATCACCTTGATTCTCATTAATGTTTAGTATGCTCATACTTGAATATACATATATATTCCTAAATATATAAATACAGCCTGCTAAATTTGTATAATGTGGATGGCATGTATGTTTTCAGTGTTTACCAATAAGTATTGTGTAACCAGTTCATGTGCTCTATCCTGTACACATTATTTCTCTCTCTTTCTCAACATTGCTTAGTTCACAGTTGACTTGTACTTCTTTGTGTAGGTTTGAGACCTCCTGAGCTTTCCCTCTCCTGTGCAAGTGTGTTTATTGGTGTTGTCTAAATGGTAGGCCATTTTTAGGCAGTCAGGTGAAATTATATGGGTGTAGTTGCTGAAATTCCTAGGAGACACAATCACCTGAGGTTTTGTCTTGTTTTGTGTTTGGAGATGCATGAATTTTCCTCAAAATTCCCCATTCTCAGTTTATCGTCTGTTGTGGGATGGTCTGTATGTCAAGTGTGTTGCTGATTGGTCAATAAATAAATCACTGATTGGCCAGTGGCTAGGCAGGAAGTGTAGGCGGGACAAGGAGGAGAATAAAGCTGGGAAGTGGAAGGCTGAGTCAGAGAGACACTGCCAGCTGCCACGATGACAAACAGCATGTGAAGATGCCAGTAAGCCACGAGCCATGTGGCAAGGTATAGATTAATGGAAATGGATTAATTTAAGCTATAAGAACAGTTAGCAAGAAGCCTGCCATGGCCATACAGTTTGTAACCAATATAAGTCTCTGTGTTTACTTGGTCGGGTCTGAGCTGCTGTGGGACTGGCGGGTGACAGAGATTTGTCCTGACTGTGGGCCAGGCAGGAAAAATCTAGCTACAATCGTCCACGCTGAAATTTGTTTTATAACTATTTTATGTGCTATATTAAGTATATTTGTTTCTGAATAAAGTGTTACTGTGTAATTCAGGCTGATATTTAATTGACAAATTTTCTTCTACTACTTTGTCAGTTGGGCTAGAAATATAGGCACACAACACAATCCCCATGTTCAATTGTGTTTTGATTTGTTTTTGTTTTTATTATTTATTTATTTCACAGCCTCGTGGCATTTTCCCCTCCCTGTTGTCTTCCCAGTCCCTCCACTTCTTCCTCTGTCCCCACCACCCATTCCATTCCTCTTGTTTCTAATACTTTTTAAAATTAATTATTTTTTTAAATTTATTTTATATCCTGGTGGCAGCTTCCTTTCCCCTTTCCCCCACTCCCTCCTTCCACCTCCCTTCTGAACCCCTCTCTGATCAATCTACCCTTCTTCACCTCTATTCATGAAAGAACAGGCCTCCATGGGTGCCAATAAAGTTTGTCATCTCAACTTGAGTTAGAACTAAGCTCCTCTCATTGTATTAAGCCTGGACAAAATAAATCCAGCATTAGGAACAGGTTCCCAAAATCCATCCAAAGTATTAGACACAGGCCCTGCCCCCACTGCCAGGTTTCCCACAAGTACACAAAGCTGCACAACCATCACACTTATGTAGAAGGCATATGTCAGTCCCATGAAGGTTCCTTAGCCATTGGTCCATAGTCTGAGCTCCCAAGAGCAGGCCAGTTGCATCTGTGGGTTCACTTCTGGTGATCCTCACCTCATGGCTTATACAATCCTTTCTCCCTCTTCTCAACAGGATTACCTGGGTTTGACCCCAGGCGTGGCTGTGAATCTCTGCACCAGGTTCCAACAGTTACTGGATGAAGGCTCTCCAATGACAACTGGGGTAGTTACTAATCTGATTACAGGAGATGGTCAGGTCAGTTCAGGCTACCTACCAACTATTGCTAGTAGTCTTAGCTTGGGTCATCCTTGTAGATTTGTGGGAGTTCCCCTTGTATCAGGTTTCTACCTGTCCCTGAAATGTACCCCTACCATCAAGATATCTCATTATTCTTGCCATCCACCCATTCTTCAACCCGATCCCTCATGTTCCCAGCCTAGCCCTCCCCCTAATCTACCTAGGAGATCTCTTCCATTTACCCTTCCCAGGGATATCCATGTGTCCACCTTTGGGCCCTCATTCAAAAGTGAATATTAGCTGTAAGTAGAGGATAACCATACTAATTGTGTTTTAAATGTTTCTATACTATACAAAACATTTAGACATATGTTAATGGTGGAAACCTTACAACTCCACAATAATATTTTGAGCAATACCACTAAGATAAAAATAACCTAATGTCAGTCACATGTTTCACATCAAAAAACATTAAATTGTTAGCTAGAGAAAGATGTATGGATTTTACCACTGTGCAACCCAAACATGGAAGATCTGCCCTATTGTTCTTTGTTTTATTTTTGGTTTTGTGTTTTCTATTTGCAACAGTTTAACAGACCTGCCAGTGTCTCACAGCTCATTGCAGAAAGAAGTTAGAATTCAATGTGATTATGTCAAGGTTACAGTTATTCACTCTGCTTTTACCACAGCATCTCAAAGCATTAGGATTTCTTCTTTCCTTCATTCAGAAGTGAGCCTGGTTCAGTATAACTGAGCACATGAGAGAATGTCATGTAGAACTTGAGGAAATTTGGATTCTCAATATTGCAAGACCTTCAGGAGCATTGCCTTTGCTTTATCTCTAATTGTTATTTATAAACAGTCGGTTATAATAGAAATGGTTAGGTAATATCCGAACAATTGCATTTACTGTAAGAAAGCATGGGTGCTATGAATACTAAAATATTACTATAAAATTACCAGAGTATGAAGAATTGAATCAGTGGAGACACTTATCAAAGGGACTGGAATACTAGAAAAAAGGAAATTTATTATTTGGGTAGAAATGATGTTGTTTAAGCAAAGATTCCTTCTGTCAACATATCATATTTTTTCTCATTCAACTAAGCAGTTACTAATAAATTTCCTCAGTATTTGAAACTGTCTTCTTAATACTCTCTTAAATCATGTTTTATTTTTCTTGCTCAAAGGGTATGCTGTGTACTTTTGTGTAAACTTGACACAAGCTGTAGTCATCTGAGAGGAGGGAAACTCAATATAGTAAATGCCTTCAGCAGATTGGGCTGTAAGCAGACAAGCCTGTATGGCATTTTCTTAATGGTGTTCAAGGGGGAGCGCTCAGTCAATTTTTGCAGAGGCACCCCAGGACTGCCTGGGTTTTATAAGAAGGCAGGCAGAGAAAGTCATGAAGACTAAGTCAGTAAGCAGCACCCCTTCATGGCCTCTGCATTAGCTTCTGCCTGCAGGTTCCTGCCCTGTTCGAGTTCATGCCTGACTTCCTTCAATGATGAAAAGTGATATGTTCTGGGGTCCAGCCTCAGCTCAGGTTCAGGCCCGGATATAGGGAAGGGATGTTGGTGCAAAGAAAACTTCTGAGCACCAAGTACATTGCACTCAAGTGGCCCCAAATATCTCAGGCCATCTTTATTTATACTTAAAGTTTTTCTTACCAGGGTTACATTCAGAGCTTTATTATTGGTTTCTATTTTTTAACTTAAGAAAAAAAATCACAGTTTAAGGAATACATTGTGATCATTATAAAAAGCCCCCATTGTTTCCCTTTATGCTTCCCCAATACACCTTCCCACCCCCTTCATAATCTTATTCTAGACACGGAGGTGAGCATTTCTGCAGGCTTACATAAATATTGAGCCACACACATCCTGCTCTGCAGAACTTATGACAGCTGGCAGCTACTTGCTGTTACAAAGTTAAAGAGTAATAGACCTGAGCAAAGTGCTTTAAGACAACAATGTTCAAACCCAAACAACTCTTTCATATCTGCAAGATATACTTTTATACAGTTCCCCTTTCTATAACAGGGTCCCATGTCTCAATCTCTCTGTAAAAGGCAGACCTTCATACAGTACTCTTTTTCTATCTCACTATACCATGTTTCTTAGACCAATATAAGATTCTATGTATGGGAAAGATCGATCTATCCATCCTAAATGTTGCATTGTACTTTTTCCTCTTGGAGCATACCAGATCCTACCAATGATTCTATGCTTGATGTCCAGGGATGTCTCCTGGAAATCTGTGCCAGCTCCTTAATGACTTCCTCAATGGTCAATTTGGCATCAATAGCAAGGAAGGCATCTTCTAAAGCCATCTGTAGCTCCCTTCCTTGAGAATCTACAGTTATTTGATGTTATCAGGAAGATATATAGCACATACAAGACAACTTCTTCCCCTCCATGCCTATCATAGACACAAGACAGGGCTGTCTCAATTTACAACCCAGAAATACATTTGTGAGCACCCTCCACAGAGATGTCAGACTTGCATGGCAAAGAAGATGCAGGGCAGTGGGAATATTGGACATCAACCCTGTCCCTGGAGCACCTCACTTGGTTGAGCTGGGAGAGGTAGAACACATTGAACCCAGCAGTAGCTGGCTAATGGCCACAAAGCCAGCCAGGAGGCTTCCTGGGAAGAAAGCAGAAAGAAGAAATATAAACTTTTCTAGGCTGTTCATATCATGAACCTTTTTCTTCCTTCATCTGTGACAGATAGTTTTGTTACATACATTACTCTA